TTTTCAACTAACTTTTGTTTCGATCAAAGCAGAACGCTCTCCCTGTGATTCGCTTCACTTTACAACAGGGTATGCGGAATTGACTTTTTTTTATTGGGCTCAAAAAATGATCAGTACTTTTGTCCCGGAATCCATAAGTTGTTAGAGAGATGACAAAAGGTCATAGCTAACAATGGCTAATACTTTGAATAAAAAAGTTGCATTGTTTCCATGGTGTCGAGTCAGTAATTGGTACGATTTGCGAACTCCTATAGCGATGTTGTCTGGAATTACTTAAACTCTTTATTAAAGTAGAACTCCATAGTTGTTGTTGCATTATTGATTTCTGTCAAGCTAGCCTTCTCTTCGATCTTGGTGATTTTTACACCCTGGACCTTGTCCACGCTTCTCCCCTTCCGACTAACATTTGGTTCGATCAATGCATAACGCTATCTCTGTAATACGCTTCCCTTTACCACAAGGTATCCGTAATAGGCTTGATTCTTTCTTGGCCTCAAAAACTGATAAGTTCGGAATCCATAAGTTGCCAAAAAGATGGGAATAGAACGTAAAAGTATTATTTCCGTCGGGTCATTAATTGGTACGATTTGTAGATTACAATAGTGGTGTTGTCTGGAATTGTTGTTGCATTATTGTATTGTTGTCAAGCTAGTCTACTCTTCGATCTTAGTGATTTTTGTATACTGGACTATTAATTCAGTTTAGACACCGATTAGGATACAGCTCGATATTAGACAGATGTTTTCGGTATTTTATACTGACGCCAGCTGATAGTATCAGAAAGAAGTTAAGGAACCATTCTATCTACCCAATTAGACCTTTTTTACAGTCTCAGAACAATACAAAAGATCAGACTGCGACAGAGTAGCTGCAATTTACTTATAAGTAAAGGGCAAAAAGTTCCGGTTGGGCGCTCAGTAAGACAAAGACGTTTTTTTTAAATTTTGCAATATTGACTTTAAATTTAGTTCTCGACATCATTCCTTCAAGAAATCATGAGCTTTTAATTGTAATTTCAATTTAAAAAAAAATACTTTATTGGTCAAGGTCAAGTACTATTTAATCTATGATCGCATTAATTCTATTTCGTCTAATAATAATTCCGGTGTTTTAGAGATAATAAATAGCGGTACTTTCTGTTATCGTTCTAGTTCGTTGCTGAAATAGCGATATGTATAAAAACATTAATAAAATTTGTATTTTTTATAATGTCGACTGAAATTAATCATATTTTACAAACTTAAAAGATTAAAAAGCCCCGATATTTTACGTCTACTGTTCGAAATACATAATAATCAAAATTCTTTAAACATTTTAAAGACTTGAAATTGTAATGAAACCGGTATAATTATAGGTTGTCTGTGTGCTAATTATATAAGTCTAGAGGTCTTGGGTTTTATTTGACTTCGTTTGTTGAGTTAAGTTAGAATATAAGGTGTGATTTTAAAGCAGTTTTAACAGATTTCTTGGCCTCATTTACTTCTAAATAAGGCCAATGCCAAACACTTATCACACAGCTCACGGTATATACCACATATTTTGTTAATAATTATTATTTATAGTTTTATGCAAAAACAAACAACTTAACAAAACGTTTTTTACCATAATTACCACAATGCATTTTACAACAAAACTGTAGTTAACAATTTCATTCCATTGTCATAAATCTAAAACAGAATTTCCATATTTAGTGGCTTAAACCATATAAGGATTTAAATGCTCTTAACACAAAAAAAAAAAAAAAAACAAGATGATTTTGCAATGTTTTCTCAAAACTTGATCTATAAAAATTTAAATAAAAAAAATTTAAATAAATGTTAGCTAACAAAGTTTGCATAAAGAAACAAGCAACAGCATGCATATTCATAACAAAATAAAAAAATCAAAAAAAAAAAATTGAAAAGCCTTAAAAGGCTTTGATTTGCTAGAAAAGTAATTTTTATTATTTTTATAATTAATTTGTATACAGGTGTTGTTTTGGTTAATCAAATTAATGCCATTTGCCAAAAATATCCGATATTTTTTGAAAGTTTTAATCCTACACGATGTCTAATTGTTTTTATATTTTTGGTTTAAATTGTCAATTTTTTTTTTCAACTTATTGTTAAATTAATAGAGACGCAATTTGTTTATATAATAAATTTTATTAATAAGTAATAAGATAATTTGTTTAAGTGTTTTTTTAATTTATAAATAGCTTTGATAATGACCACAATTTTTCCGAAATTTGATGAATCAGTGTTTTTGACAGAATTGTTTTTGTTGTTGTAAGGTTACAATTAAAATTTATAATGTCAAGATAATACAGTTTAGAGAAACTGTATAGAGATAAAGTTTTCTTTTTTAAAACTGCTTTCAAAACTAAAGAAAACTCATTTCTCTTCAAAAACTATTTGAAGAAACAACTTTTTTCCAAAAACTGTTTGCAGGAAATGTTTTCTTCTAAAAACTGTTTAAAGAAGACAGTTTTCAAAAATTTTCTATTCAAATCTCCTTAAAGGAAATAACTTTCTATTGAAAACTGTATAAAAACACTGCGTTATCTTCAAAACTATTTAAACTGTTTTTATGGATGATAGTTTTCTTTAGAAAAGTATAAAATAAGGCAGTTTTGTGTTACACAGTTTTCTATAGAGAACTGTAAAGAAGTCAGTTTAAAGAAAATAATTTTCTATTCAAAACTGTATAAAAATGACTGCGTTATTTTCAAAACTGTTTGAACTGTTTTTTAACAAATTTTTATGGATGATAGTTTTCTTTAGAAAAGTATAAAGTAAGGCAGTTTTTCTGTTAAACAGTTTTCATTAAAAAACTGTAAAGAAAATAATTATCTATTCAAAACAGTATAAAGAAGGCTGCATTATCTTCAAAACTGTTTTTTAACAATTTTTAGTGGAATAAAGTTTTCTTTTGAAAACTTTAACTAAGGCAGTTTTTTTGCTAAACAGTTTTCTATAGAAAACTTTAAAGAAAACAGTTTAAAGGAAATAATAATCTATTCGAAACTGTTAAAAGAAAACTGCGTTATCTTCAAAACTGTTTAAACATTTCTTTGAAAAGTTTTTGTGGAAGAAAGTTTTCTTTTGAAAACATTAAGACAGTTTTTATTGTTAAACAGTTTTCTATAGTAAACTTTAAAGAAAACAGTTTAAAGAAAATAATTTTCTATTCAAATCTTTATAAAGGAGACTGCATTATCTTCAAAACTGTTTAAACATTTTTTTTGAAAAGTTTTTGTGGAAGAAACTTTTATTTTGAAAACTTTAATTCAGTTTTTTTTTGTTAAACTGTTTTCTATAGAAAACTTTAAAGAAATTAGTTTAAAAGAAATAATTTTCTATTCGAAACTGTCCAAAGAAAACTGCGTTATCTTTAAAACTGTTCAAACTGTTTTTTGTAAAGTTTTTGTGGAAGAAAGTTTTCTTTTGAAAACTTTAGGTAAGGCAGTTATTTCCAACTGTTTTCTGCAGACAACTGTAAAAGAAGACAGTTTTATGGGTTCAACTGTTTAAAGATAAAAATTTTCTATCGAAAAATTAAAAATTATAGTTCTTTATAAAGTTTTATAATCATTCTAAAAAAGATAATTTGACAACTGTTGTCTCTTGAAAACTGTTTAAAAAGACAGCTTTCTATTTAAAACTATTTAAAGAATACAGTTTTCGATTTAAAACTGTCTAAAGAAAATAATTTTCTATTCAAAACTGTATAAAAATACAGTTTTTTCTTCAAAGAATTTAGTCTCTTGAAAAGTATTTAAAGTAGACAGTTTTCTTTAGAGAACTGTTAAAGATGACAGTTTCCTGGGTAAAACTGTTTAAAGAAGACAGTTTTCAGTTTCGTTTTGTAGTCTTTCTAAAGAAGACAGTTTTATTTTGAAAATTTAAGATAGTTTTTTAACTGCTTAAGAAAGAAATCTAAAAAAATATTAATTTCAAGTTTTATTTGAAAACTGTTTAATAAAGACAGTTTTATTTCAAAAACTGTTTAATGAAGACAGTTTTGTTATGAAAACTTTCTTAAACAGCTGTCTTTTAAAGTCTGTTTAATAATGACAGTTTTATTTTGAAAACGTAGTCAGTTTTCTTTTAAAATCTGTTTAAGAAAACTTTTTTCTTATTTGTTTAATGAAGAAGTTTTGTTTTAAAAACTTTCTAAAACAGTTTTCTTTTGAAATCAGTTAATTGGAGAAAACTGTCTTTAAAATCTGTTAAACGAAGACAGTTTTGTTATGAAATTTGTTTTATGAAGACAGTTTTGTTTTGAAAACTTTCTAAAACAGTTTTCTATTAAAATCAGTTTATTAAAGAAAACTGTCTTTGAAATCGGTTCATAAAGACAGTTTTCTATTAAAAAATGTTTAATGAAGACAGTTTTGTTATGAAATTGGTTTTATGAAGGCAGTTTTGTTTTGAAAACTTTCTAAAACAGTTTTATTTTAAAAAGTGTATAATAATAACAGTTTTCTTTTGAAACAGTTTAACGAAGTCAGTTTTCTTCTGAAATTTGTTTAATGAAAACAGTTTTCTTTTAAAATCTGTTTAATGAAGACAGTTTTGTTATGAAGTTTGTTTTATGAAGACAGTTTTGTTTTGAAAACTTTCTAAAACATTTTTCTATTGAAATCAGTTTATTGAAGAAAATCGTTTTTGAAATCTCTTTAATAAAGACAGTTTTCGTTTTAAAATCTATATAATAATAACAGTTTTCTTTTGAAAACAGTTTAACGAAGTCAGTTTTCTTCTAAAATCTGTTTAGTGAAAACTGTTTTCTTTTAAAATCTATTTAATGAAGACAGTTTTGTTATGATATTTGTTTCATAAAGACAGTTTTGTTTTGAAAACTTTTTAAAACTGTTTTCTTTCGAAATATATTTAATTAGGACAGTTTTCTTTTGAAAACAGTTTAACAAAGTCAGTTTTCTTATGTATAACAGTTTTATTTGTTTACTTCTAAAACCATGTTAAACAAAACTAATTATTATTTTTTTATTTTTCCAGGAATCTCTTTCATTATCCCACAATCTCTCCGATAAACCTCTAGCACCATCCCCCTTAATACCCACTTCTTTGGAAGGTGGCAAAGTCTCTGATCGTTTGGGTAAATTGAAAAGTTCTTCGGAAAGTTGGAGAAATCGTGTTGGTAAGTTAAAATTAATTAAATTCCCCTTAAAAGAACTCTTAAATTTAAACATATCTTCCCCCGCCCCGCAGAACAATCAGATGCTGCTAAGTTTACAGTCGCTGGTCGACTTCAAAAGAAGGCCCAATCACCCGTAGAATTACAATTTGAAAGATCTGCCAATGATGCCGCCAAAAAATGTCCCCTACAAATTATACGCAGTGCCAATCAACCACAATTGGGTTTGGCTAAAAGTGCCTCCATGATGGTTTCAACCAATACTAATGGTATTGGTTTGGGTCAAAAATCTAGCAATGGTGCTCTCTTTGTACAACGTAGTTTAAGTGTCAATAATGAAAATCCCAATAGTGCTTCTGAATCGAATTCCGCTGCTAGTAATTCGGATAGCGATAATGAAAAGGAGCAAAAAGATAAACGTAATATTAATAATCAGTCATCTAATACAGCAACAACAACTAGTCAGAGTGCCCGAGGTGCTCGTGTTGTTATACCCAAATTTGATGATGAGGAAACATTCGAGAAATTCTTTGTATCAAAGAAAATACAACAAGATAAGTCAACACCCGATGAAGAGGGTATTGATATAGCTGATTTTGATAAGATTAAACCCACAGAGAGGTTAGATCTTGCTGGAAAAACATTTGAAATCTTTTTATAATTACCATTACTTTTCTTTTTAGATTGGCCGTTAAGCGCTCTATACAATTGCCTAAAGGTCGCCGTGCTGCTCGTAATCCTTTAAGAAATTTAGCCTCACGCACTGATATCACTTCAGAATATACTGAAGTTAAATCGGGCATAGCCGAAAGAGAAATGCGTAGAATTAAGGCGGAATCATGTAAGTAGAAAATTTCAAAACTTTGTCTCAGAGATGACACTTTTTGAGACCAGTTCAAATCGGACTTATTTTGTACGTTAGTCTGTCCACCGTCTATCAAAATCTACATCATAATAATTGTTTGTCTTTTTAATATCTCCCACTTTTCAGTTGGTTGTCGTCCGAATTTAGCTGCCGAAGCCATTGCCGGCTTAGCATCGGTGGAAGACTTTAAGGCAGTAGCTTTAAAATCCTCCTCGCTGCCACTTAACCAAATGTGGTTGCCCTATAAACCTCTAATGTTGTTGCATGTTAAAGGACGTACCCATGTACAAACCAGACTGGTGGAACCTTCATATCTCTCCCTCAATCGCGGAGATTGTTTCATATTAATAAGTGGCGATAAGTTGTATCGTTATGTTGGTTCCTATGCCAATATAATAGAAATATCGCGCAGCAAAAAAATCTGTGCCTACATCTTAGAAAACAAAGACTTGGGATGCACCGCCACCTCTGAGGTCATACTAACCGATGGTAAGTTCATGAATGAACGTCACTGGAAGATATTCTGGGAGTTATTGGGTAAACCAGAAGAATATCAAATACCCGATAGTGGTCATGCCGATGAAGATGATCTCTTCGAAGCAAGTCTTATAGAGACCAATAAAATCTATGAATTCCAAGATGATTCATTAGTGCCATTTGAAAAGTACTGGGGTTGTATACCCAAAATAGAAATGTTGGACACCAAAAAAGTATTAGTTTTTGATTTCGGTTCTGAAATGTATATATGGAATGGTAAGAATGCCTCTTCGAATTCCAAGAGGGCCGCCATTAAACTGGCTCAAGAACATTATGATGAAGGACAAGTGGACTATTCCAAATGTTATGTCAATCCCATGCATTTCTCTAGTATTGTGGGTTCACGAGACAGCTACAAATTTCCCAAACGTTGTGATAAACGTGGTGAATGGTGTATTCTGGGTAAGATTACTCAAAATATGGAGACCTCCTTATTCAAGGAGAAATTTGCCGATTGGCCTGAAGTAGAACGTGAAGATTTGGAGAAAGACTATTTAACAAATGGCGTAAATTCGGTAAAACCTTTGGATGGTAGCGCCATTTTTAAAGGATCTCCCTATGAAGAGCCCAACTTAGTATTGGAACAATCGAATTTGGGTCGTGGTAATTTTTACTATGACACCGATAGCATGCGTCATTTTGAGATTATTTCCAAATCTTGTGATAAATGGAAAATAAATGAATTTAACTTTGACCAGGCCGAAAAAGCTTCATATGGTCATTTCTATTCAGCTGAAAGTTATATTCTCAAGTGGATCTATCAAATTAATGTCACAGTGCGTGAGTTAAGTGGTCGTGTTTCCAATCGCAGCACAGTGGGACGTGATCGTTGTGTTTACTTCACCTGGCAAGGTAGTGAGGCTTCGGCCAATGAAAAGGGAGCTGCTGCTCTTTTAACCGTCGAATTGGATAAAGAAAAGGGAGCTCAAATGCGTGTGGCCCAAGGAGATGAAACTACGGTATTTATACGTCTTTTCGGTGTTATGTGTTTGCACCAGGGCCGCAAAGAAGAATGTCTAAAGCGCCGTAATCAATGGCGCCTTTACCAAATATGTGGCAATGTTGCTGAAGAAACCCTTATAAAAGAAGTAGATTGCCATGGCAATCAATTGCGCTCCAGAGCATCCATGTTATTAATACATGGTGAAAAGGGTATTATCTATTTATGGCATGGCTGTAAAGCTGCCCCACACACCCGGGAAGTAGCCATTAAGGCAGCAGAAAAACTAAAAGACTCAAAACCCCAAGATCTCTTTAACACAGATACAGTCATTATTGAAATTGTAGAAGAACAAAAAGAGTCCAACGACTTTAAAGAGGCTTTATCAAACGATCTCTCTCAACCTTTAAAACTCTATGGCAGTCTCTGTGAAGAGGAATCTAAGGAATTCTCCTACACTCCCAGAATGTTCCACTTCTCTAGCACTCAAGGTGTGTTTAAAGCTGCCGAATTGTATTCACCTCTACGATGTGCAGATGTTATAACACCATATCCATTTACTCAAACACAATTGTATAATGCTCGTCAGCCTACCATATTTATGATAGACGATGGTGATTTATTGTGGCTATGGATGGGCTGGTGGCCTTTGGAGGATATTAAAAGTGAGTGTGGATTTCTGATGTAATTGTAATTTGATTTTATCATAAAATCGCTTTTATATTATAGTTAATACAGAAGAACGTGGTAGTCCCACCAATGAAAACCGAGCTGGAGTTAATCGCTGGATTTCCGAACGTCGAGCTGCTTTAGAAACTGCAGTCTCGTATTGGAGAGCTAAGTTCGGTAAGTGGTTTTATAATTATTTGATTATTTAAGAAGATAGATAGATAGACAGATAGATAGATAGATAGATAGATAGATAGATAGATAGATAGATAGATAGATAGATAGATAGATAGATAGATAGATAGATAGATAGATAGATAGATAGATAGATAGATAGATAGATAGATAGATAGATAGATAGATAGAAGATAGATAGATAGATAGATAGATAGATAGATAGATAGATAGATAGATAGATAGATAGATAGATAGATAGATAGATAGATAGATAGATAGATAGATAGATAGATAGATAGATAGATAGATAGATAGATAGATAGAATAGATAGATAGATAGATAGATAGATAGATAGATAGATAGATAGATAGATAGATAGATAGATAGATAGATAGATAGATAGATAGATAGATAGATAGATAGATAGATAGATAGATAGATAGATAGATAGATAGATAGATAGATAGATAGATAGATAGATAGATAGATAGATAGATAGATAGATAGATAGATAGATAGATAGATAGATAGATAGATAGATAGATAGATAGATAGATAGATAGATAGATAGATAGATAGATAGATAGATAGATAGATAGATAGATAGATAGATAGATAGATAGATAGATAGATAGATAGATAGATAGATAGATAGATAGATAGATAGATAGATAGATAGATATATAGATAGATAGATAGATAGATAGATAGATAGATAGATAGATAGATAGATAGATAGATAGATAGATAGATAGATAGATATATAGATAGATAGATAGATAGATAGATAGATAGAATAGATAGATAGATAGATAGATAGATAGATAGATAGATAGATAGATAGATAGATAGATAGATAGATGTTTTTAAATTTATTAAATTTTTTAATTTGAAAAAAACGTTTTTTAAAATTTTTCCTTAAGGTGACAATGAAGAAAAACAATTCCATGGCATTAAAGGCTACGTTGTATGGGCTGGCTTAGAATCCACCAACTTTAAGGCTCTCTTCCCCGAATGGTCCGTAAGAGAAGATGTTAAAGAAATTAATTTACAAGTAAGTTTTAAATAAAAATATTAATATTTTCCCTTATATTTACCAAACTAATCAACTCTATTCTATTACTTAAACAGGATGGTCGCACTGATGAACCTCTGCCCATTATCGATGTCTTGCAGCAATTAACCCAAACAGAATATCCCTTGGATGTGCTTAAAGAAAGACCCTTACCCGAAGGTGTCGATCCAACACGTTTAGAATTGTATCTAAATGATGAAGACTTTGTGAAAGCTTTAGGAATAACACGCACAGACTTCGAACAAATGCCATTATGGAAACAAACCAATTTGAAAAAAGAGAAAGGTCTTTTCTAAATGAATACAACTAAAGGAATTTGAAATTTAAACGCACATTAGGCTGAAAGATTTTTTCTAATAACTTATATAAAAACAACTGATGATATACATATTACTTATACATATAAAAAACAACTCAAATCCTATTGATATGAGTTGTTTACCAAAAAATATTGCAATCATTTTTTATATAAAAAAACAAGGCCTTAACACATACATATTTCTTTATAAAAAACAGATATTTTTTTTAAACACGCTTTATAATCTTTTAAAATCTAAAATGCAATTTAAAAATTATACATTATGAAAAAAGTAATTCATATAACAACAAATCAATTTTTTCAAATTAAACATACCACCATTTAACATATTGATAACACTTTATACATATTATTAAAAAAAAAGAAAACTAAATTTAAAATTTAAATTTTGAAAATCTTTTTGCTAAGCTTATTATCATACATTTATTAAACATAATTTACTAACTAATAATAATAATAATTACTAACACATTTCATTTAATTCATTTATATATTTTTTTATTATAATTTTAATTTGTTATTGATTGTATTTTTGTAAATATTTTATTATTATTTTTAGTTTGCTTTTTTGTCAAAATTTTATCTGCATTTTGTTGAATTTTGATTTACTCTTTTATACTTTAATGTGAGTGTCTATTTTTTAGCAAAATTTTTAGTTAATACTTTTCATTTCTCATTTATAATTTTAAGTTATTGTGTGTAAACGATTTTAAGTTTTTATTTTTTTGCAATTTGTTATATTATGCAGCCGAGAATTATATTTCAAATAAATATTATAAAATATTTAAAAATAAATAAATATTAAAAAATTAATAAAAAAAAAACTGAGTTTTAATTATGAATGTGGTAACAAAATGTTTCAAAAGGTTCAGGTGTTGATTTAAAAGTAAATAATGTGAGTTTAAAGCATACCTTAAGGCTTAAAAATAAGTTAATATAGTGGATAATAATGTTTACAGGGTACGTGATTTGAGATAAACCATTTTACAGGGTAAGGCAGTTTAAGGTGAGCAAACACTGTTAATTAACAGAATTGTTGGCTTCTTTTTGCAAATGTTTTTAAAAAATGACAAAAAACGCAGGAAATCTATACAATTTTTAGAAATTTGTTTTTTTTTTGGGTAAATTTAAACAATTAGAATAATTTTAAGATATTATTTTTGGAATAATTTCATAATGATATTGGTTTTATAATTTGTCAGCGTAAAAAACGTGGCAGGTGTTATGTTAAGGTACAGATGTAACAGAAAAACACGTAAAGCATACTTTAAGGCAGAATAAAAAACAATTTAACAGAGGGCAGTTTATGGTGCGCTAACATTGTTGATTAACAGAGTTATTATATGTTGATTATCTATCTATCTATCTATCTATCTATCTATCTATCTATCTATCTATCTATCTATCTATCTATCTATCTATCTATCTATCTATCTATCTATCTATCTATCTATCTATCTATCTATCTATCTATCTCTCTATCTATCTATCTATTTATCTATCTATCTATCTATCTATCTATCTATCTATCTATCTATCTATCTATCTATCTATCTATCTATCTATCTATCTATCTATCTATCTATCTATCTATATATCTATCTATCTATCTATATATCTATCTATCTATCTATCTATCTCTATCTATCTATCTATCTATCTATCTATCTATCTATCTATCTATCTATCTATCTATCTATCTATCTATCTATCTATCTATCTATCTATCTATCTATCTATCTATCTATCTATCTATCTATCTATCTATCTATCTATCTCTATCTATCTATCTATCTATCTATCTATCTATCTATCTATCTATCTATCTATCGATCTATCTATCTATCTATCTATCTATCTATCTATCTATCTATCTATCTATCTATCTATCTATCTATCTATCTCTCTATCTATCTATCTATTTATCTATCTATTATATCTATCTATCTATCTATCTATCTATCTATCTATCTATCTATCTATCTATCTATCTATCTATCTATCTATCTATCTATCTATCTATCTATCTATCTATCTATCTATCTATCTATCTATCTATCTATCTATCTATCTATCTATCTATCTATCTATCTATCTATCTATCTATCTATCTATCTCTATCTATCTATCTCTATCTATCTAATCTACTATCTATCTATCTATCTATCTATCTATCTATCTATCTATCTATCTATCTATCTATCTATCTATCTATCTATCTATCTATCTATCTATCTATCTATCTATCTATCTATCTATCTATCTATCTATCTATCTATCTATCTATCTTCTATCTATCTATCTATCTATCTATCTATCTATCTATCTATATCTATCTATCTATCTATCTATCTATCTATCTATCTATCTATCTATCTATCTATCTATCTATCTATCTATCTATCTATCTATCTATCTATCAATCAATCAATCTATCTATCTATCTATCTATCTATCTATCTATCTATCTATCTATCTATCTACCTATCTACTTTTTAAGTCGTGGAATGATTTTTATGTTCGTACTTCCACATTGAAACGCAAATTTACGCCTTTTAAAACGAATCTTTCGAAATAATGTTAATTAACAGAGTAGTTAGGCCAAAACTGCATTATCCAGTTAAACATGATTATCAAGTTAGTGGAAATGCAAATATCTGCTGCAAACACTATTATCTTGACAGTAGACACTGTTGTAGCCTTATTTATTAAAAGCTCTTTAAGGTATGCAATTATTTTTCGTCAAGTTACACAAGTTAACAGTATTTTAACCATTGAAACTTATTTTATTAATTATTTAAACAACAAAAAACTCAACACTATTTTTTAAGGAAATTTTTGATATATTTTTTATTATTTTACACACATTTGCTGGAAATCAAACTAAAGGCAAATACTGTTAAATCACAATGTCTATAGACTATAGACTAGACTAGAGACTATAGACTAGACTATAGAATAGGCTATAGACAAGACTATAGACTAGACTATAGAATAGACTATAGACTAGACTATAGACTAGACTATAGACTAGACTATAGACTAGACTGTAGACTAGACTATAGACTAGACTATATACTAGACTATAGACTAGACTATAGACTAGACTATAGACTAGACTATAGACTAGACTATAGACTAGACTATAGACTAGACTATAGACTAGACTATAGACTAGACTATAGACTAGACTATAGACTAGACTATAGACTAGACTATAGACTAGACTATAGACTAGACTATAGACTAGACTATAGACTAGACTATAGACTAGACTATAGACTAGACTATAGACTAGACTATAGACTAGACTATAGACTAGACTATAGACTAGACTATAGACTAGACTATAGACTAGACTATAGACTAGACTATAGACTAGACTATAGACTAGACTATAGACTAGACTAGACTATAGACTAGACTATAGGCTAGAACTGCCAGAGATATAGACTTATCTTTTTTACCGTCCCCACTAAAGAGTTATGTATATGTATGTTATAAATAGAAATATTTTAAATCTGTCGGAATTGGACTTTTAAGCTCTAGTGCCATTCTTAGCCTTTTTCTAGCTTTATCTCTTAAGCCTTTTTTGTTCCTTTTTAATTTAGCCTTTTATTTCTGAAGCTCCTGGCAACACTGGCTATATAAAAAAAAACTCAAAACTTTTATTTTTAAGGAATTTTTTTTTTTTTTATTATTTTATATATATTTTTTCATTCTATAAAACTATTTTATATACTAAAATCTTGTTAAACATACACTATGTTTAAGTAGTAGTTTTGATAAAGTAATTTCTATTATAAGGGTCAAATCAATTGACTACTAATTAATTTGACTAAAGATTATCTTGCCTTTTTAAATAATAATTAGAAAAAGTAGAATAAAAATAATTACATATGTATGTATATAAACGATTCCTAAATACTTTACAAATCTAAGAACTTTAAAACTAAACAAATTTCACTTTTGCCTTTGACTTATATCTTCCTGCAAACACTTTATTTCTTTGGCGTTAAATTGCATTGTGAGGCAATTTCCTTAACAACTCGGCACATAAGTTGACTGCAAATGGCTTGTCTGGAATTGCCTACCAAGACGACTTCCTCATGATTGGCCTCGTCTTCCCCGCTGTCATAGTCGGTGGCACATTTGTTGGTAATCAAACTAAAGGCAAATACTGTTAAATCACAATGTCTGGCGGTGATGACTTCATGTACGGTACTCATGCCCACAGCATCAACACCCATGATACGCAACATTTTCAATTCGGCTACGGTTTCATAATTGGGACCACCCAAACAGGTATAGACACCTTCGTGGACATCATTCTCTATACCCATATCTTTGGCTACTTTGCGGGCGGTGCGTATGAGATGGGCATCATAGGCATTTGTCATGGGTGGAAAACGTGGACCAAAACGGGGATCATTAGGTCCCTGCAGGGGAGAGTTGCCAGCAAAGCCCATAATATTGATGTGATCGCGTACAATCATAATATCACCAACTTTGAATTTAGGATTAAGACCACCGGCAGCATTTGTGGCCATTAGAAAACGTACACCCACCAATTTCATTACACGCACCGGCATGGAACACTTAGCCAAAGGATAACCTTCATAGTAGTGGAAACGTCCTTGCATGGCCATGACGGGTAAACCCTCCAAATAACCGAAAATCATGCGACCAACATGTCCCTCCACTGTGGATACCGGGAAATTGGGTATATCTTCATAATCGAAAGTTTGAGTATCGGTAATATTATCGGCCAAAGAATTCAAGCCCGAACCGCAAATTATACCAATGACAGGTCTAATAGAAGTACGTTCCAATAAGTAATCGGCTATATCCTTAATAACATCATAGGAGTAACTGTAATAAAGAAAATGAAAGGTAAACATAATGTTAGTTTGAAGTTTATATACTTTAAACCAAATCCCTCAGACCAAAAATAAATTTTAACCGAAAATTCACCTTTTATTTTTCTCTAATTTAGACATTTATTTATTTTTCTTTATTTATAACTTTCAACTTCCGATTATCGATGTCAGTCTTTGAATTGTTGGCGAAGTAATAATATTT